TATGGTGCCTGATCTGTGATTTGGGTTTTTGTCACAGCAGGCGATCGCCTCCCGCTCTCTTGTAACGCGCACAGAGCGCACTCACCGAGGCCTTTCAGAAGTAATGAATTCCCATCTCAGTTGTGGGGTTACCAAGATGAACACTGACTCAGTAATGTTACGCTTGTCATGTGGCACTTCTGTAGCAATGTAAGCAACGGGTGACGGTCCCTCCTGTAAGATACAGCTGAAGGCAGCCATGGCATTCATAGCTATTGGTTTTCCTCAGCCCAGGGTCTTCTTGGAGAAGGACTTTGCTCACAGAACTGTGCTGACAAGGACTTCTGGAGGTCTGGCTTGCACCAAGGAAAATCGTGCTTTTGAACCATTAAGCTTTGAAAAATGATGTGTGGTAGTCACTAGTTAGAGCTGGGTCAAGATATAGACCCAGCCATCAAGTATGGACATTTAGGACATGTTTGAGGAATGCTGAATGGTTATGGGGAAGAGTTAATGTAATAATACCGAACATGGAACATATAGGTGCACTTCCTTGAGAAGTCTCACAAGAATCAGCAGTCCTTAGAACTCTGTTTTTTGTTTCATCCAGTGCCCTGTCATTGAACAAAGCATACACGGTTGTTCCCACTCACTGGAGGATACTCCTGCTTTTGTTGTTCTCCTTTGAACCTGTTTTGGTTGGCATCTACAGAATTTACTTTTTAGAGCAAAGAGTGGTAGGATGGGACATGATAAATGGTTGTGGTTTTCACGTCGTTTCCCTACAATACTGTGTAATGCAAATGGTGGCTTTGGCAATCCACACAAGGATAGCTCAGACTGATGCAACAGGCAAGTTGACTGACTCTTGGGGTCATCTCCTGGTCTGTGTTGCTAGATGGGTGTTCTGGTGGAGCCCCTGTGAGGTGCACTTCCCATATTAATCACGTCCTACCATAGCTGCATTTTCTGATGCAGGAGCCAAAGCCCTCCCTCTACAGGTTGCCTGGATGTGGCAGTCGGTCAAACCTGTGAACCCTTCAAAAGCAGACAGGTCACTCTAAGAATGTGGTGCTTCTGAGTGAGAGTGAAAGGGAGCAGCGGCCTTTATTTTTTTTGGAAAACAAACAAATAACAGAATATTTGAAGTATTTTGTTTATAGGATTTTCTCAATTGTTCTTTTATAAGGATGTAAATATGATGTTCAGACAAACACTGGTGTCCTTCCGTGACTCCTTAAAGTAAATGAGTTCAGACCATACACTGCCTTGCTGATGCAAAACACAAGCCCTGTTGACCTGGAATCTCTCCATTTCCTGGGTTCAATCTATACCTCTTCTAAAATTCTGTGTTTGAGAGCAGGGTGGTAGCAGCTGGGGAGAGATTTCAGAGATGGGTTGAATTAGTTAACCAGCTGGGTGCCGATGCAAGGGCAAGGATAGTCCAGCTTGATCCTTTCCTTCTTCTGTCACTGAGCTCACCACACCTAGAGAAATCCATTCCCCTTGGTGGCTGAGTTATGCACTGTGCTGAATTGGATCTGCTGCCCGGGAGGTTTGGCCAACACATGAGCTTGACCCCAGCAGTGGCCCAGGCAAGAGAGAGGACAGACTGTGTCCTGCGGTGGTTCACTGCTGCCTTTCAGTAAATATACCTGCAACCTTTTGCTTAAAAGAGAAGGAGAATTTGCAGAAAAATATAAAAGACTTTTTTTTTTTCTTTTGTTTCTTAACTGGGCATAAAAAAATTTGTTTCTGCATAGGAAAATAAAGAGGGGCCATTTTGGGACTTTTGCTGTGTTTTGGAGGGGTGAGTTTGGAGCACATTGGATGTGGGACAGGAACAGCAGAGACAAAAAGCCCTGCTTGCTCTTGTGCCCATAATAAAGTTCCTGCTGTAGTAATCTGGTGCAGATATTGAGGTTTTACAGGTCCCTCACTGCACTTAGCTCACATGGTTGGGTTGTAATGAACAAGCTGAAGTGGAAAAACAGTCTTTTCCTTAAGCCAAAAACACAGGCACAAAAAACACCCTTTGTTTTTTTAAAACAGACATTGCACTTGGGACCCTTTAATGGTAAATATTTAACAGGTGGAAGTCCTTATTCGTTTCTCTTTTCCCCTGTATTTCTTAATTAGCAGCAAGTCTTTTTTTTTTTTTTCTTTTTTTTCATTCGGCTATTAATCATCTGAGGCTCTCTGGGGTACTCTGCAGTGCTCTGCTTGCTGCTGTTTTCCTTCAGCTCATATGACTTGGTCTTGCTGCCCTTGAGAAGGAGTTGTGGGCTCTCAGTGCTGCTGTATTTTGCAGCCTATGCTGTGTTTATTTGGAGCCAGGCTTGCCCAGTGTGGGTGGCTGAACTGTGCCCTGCTGATCAAGTGCAGGAGTTGTTATTCATTGAGGGATGAGAAGAAGGAATGTGTTTCTCAGATGCTGGACTGTCACTTGCAGTGTAGATGTACTGCTGCATGACTTTCTCTATGTTATTTTGGGCAAGACCTGTAGGTGTTTGTCACTGCTTAGACGCCTAATTTGTGAGGGAAGCAGAAGGCTGCTGTAAGCCTGGAATGCAAAGCACTGGAGCTGGAGTTGAGGTCTGCAGGGCAGATGCCTGCAGGATTTTAAGGGCAAAGTGAAATTAACCAAAAAGTTGACTTTTCGGGTTTTTCCTGTAAGAGCTTGAATGTCATCTGCATCCCATGCTGGGACATCCTGTATCCTGTCCTCACAGCCTAGAAGGGAAGGTGTTGAGCACATCAGTGCCGTGTCTGCCATACCACAAAAGAATATGCTTAAAATGAACATGTATCACTGGTTTATCAGTTCTTCCAACTCTTAAAGCCTATCTAGAAAGAGGTGGACATTTATGTGGGCATAATGGAGCAACCCTTCAATGCACGTTGAGGTTCGAAGGGACCACTTGAAATCGTCTAGTTGTACCCCTGCTTCAGGCAGGGTCCCATCTGGCTTTGGAGGCAAAAAATGCCAAGAGGAAGAGCAGAAAAAGCATAATTTTTGTATTTTCTTCCTTTTGTTTCTTTGACTCATCTCCTGGTGAAAGTGTGTACAGTGAGCTAGAACAGAAGCCCTACTCCTCCTGGCACACTGGTGACTGGTGATGGATTTTTATCAGTTGGCATGCACATATTTTGTAAATATTTTAGAGAAAAAACAGCTCAAGGGTTTCAGGCAAATGTTCTTTTAGTGGAGAAATACGTTTTACAGGCATTTTAAGTGTCGTGCAATCATCAGAGTGACTGAGATTTGCTATATGATGAATAGGATGGGAGTTATTTTGGGGCAATCACATCCTTTCCTAAGATTTTTTTATCAGCTCACAGTTTTGGTAGGCTCTGAATGTTTGTGTCATTTAGGTGGGACATGATATGGGGCTATTTTGTTAGCCCTACCCATCTCTGGAATACCAAAGAAGCAAGGAGACCATTCAGGTTTCTGGTTTCAAGAACTAGAAGACTTGAGGGAAGACTTAAAATTGCTTTGCACTGATTTGAGTGACATATTTTGTAGTCAGCAGCCTAAATACACTGGGAAGACACCAGATTTCAGTGAGTTACAGTGTCATCAGTCCTACTGGTGGCAACTGTGACTCAGCTTAGCTTGGGGCTATGTTAAGCCTGTGTCTTTACAAAGCAGAGAAGGTGATTCTGTTGTCTTCCTTAGTGAGGAAGAAGGTTTGATTAAAGGCAGGTTGCATACTGAATGTGATGTAAATAGATGCGAGTGGAATGCTGTTTATAATAAGCATGGGTTTCTCCAAAGTTTTAAACGGGGAAAAAAAAAGAAAAGTATTCTGAACATTGAGTTATTCACTTGGTTTTTCCTTCTATTTTTTATTTCTGATTGCGTTTCATCTGTTTGAGGATAGGACTTCATTGACACAATTAGCAAAACAAAACAAATGATTATAACACCTTTTATTTAAGCCCGTGCTATTTAATGTATGTGCTTGCACTTTCATTACTCATTTGCTTGGTTGCAAAACACAGTGATATCACCTTTCTGTGCTGCTAGAGCTAAAACAAAGCAAAAAGAAATCTTTTGGCTCTGAGCTGCTCTCTGCTGTTTTTATGACAGATGAACTAGAAAGCAATGTTGGGCAGGGAGTTATTTGAGTTTCCTTTCACTGCTTGCAAAGCATTATTTCCGGGCCTGGCAATTGACTGAGTTTGTGTGATAGCTTTCTTATCTTAAAATCACAAACAAAAGTCCCAGCAACTTGATTCCCAGCACTGTTAGTAATATCAGGTTTTAAAAGGAAAAACAAAACAAAACAAATTTTGATGGCTTTATGCACGTTGAATAACTAGAATCTTTATGACTAATTCCCTGGGCATTTGAAGCCACTTTGCTGAGAGGTTTTTATTTCATTTGAACGTGGAGGTGTACTTGACTTGTTAGGAAGTGCAAACAGTTGTTTTACTGCAGAGCTGAGTGCTTCCAAGGTGTTAGGCTTTGTATCCAGCTGATACGTAGGGCTGTTTCCTCCACTTCAACCCAGATGGGCATTTAGATGGGCATTTTTCTCTGAAATTAGGAAGGCAGAAAGTCCCGCTCAGCTGCTTCCAAGCAGCCTTTTACTGCCTTCTCTTCCCTGTTGGAGAAAACATGTAATTAGGGTAAAAAAAGTAAAAAAGGAGAAAGAAAACTGTCTCCTTTCCCCAGTCAAAAGGGTTTTGGAAGGATGTGTTGGTTAGGTGACCTTTGTTTTGGTTGTTGTTTTATAGTCCTCTTTGTTTCATATCACGTGGGACCTGTGAGCCTCTGGAGATGGTGGTCCCATGGAGCCTATGCTCAGTGTGTTTAAATAAACCAGGCTAATAGGGAAACAAATGAAAAAAGGAGAAAAGTGAAAAAAAATCAAACAAACCTAAAAACTTCCTCCTGTGCAAAAGTGAATTGAAAGAGTTTGCATGGGAATAAGATAGGTGGGAAGAGCCTGTGCTTTCTACTTCCTTGTGGTTGCTCTCATATAATGGCTGTCCTTTTCCTCTCTCCAAAGGTCTCAGCCCTGTGCCTTCAACCACTCTGGAGTAATGCTGGGAGGAGCTCTCAGATTGATCCTTTCCATAGCTTCCAAGGATTTTTAGGATTATGGGATTTATGGACCTGCAAAATCCTCTGGAGAACGTCAGCCATCCACAAAACCATCTGGAAATTCTCCCTATCTTTCCTGGGTCACTGAGTGTTGGGAAGGAGGCATCTCTGCTCTGAGGATTACAGCAAATCAGTCGCTTGCCATCCTTACTGGAATACCTCCCCTTTCAGTTGCTCGGAACAGAGCAATTATTGCAGAAGGCAGAAGAATATTTTTTCCCTTTCTCTGAGCTTTTGCAGTGCAGCAGTGGCCATGTCTGGGTATGTAGATGGTTTCCTCATTCTTCACCCAATTTCTTTTCCTGATGTTTAGGAACTGAATCATTCTGTTTCCTTACTAGCCTCTGCTAAAGGTAAGGCCTTTCCATCTCTTTAGCATCATACTCTGAAGGTGGCTTTTCCTCATTAGAAAAGGGGTGGAGATGCTCACATCCACACCTCGTAATTCCTCCTGCACTGCCCCTGGCCACTCAGCAATTACTGATGTACTTACAGCACCACGCAGACACCGGCTGTGTGTGAACCTGCTTATCAGGCTTTGCCATGTAATTTCAGAGGAGATAATATGAGTATTCAATCCATTTTTTTTCATCTTAATTTAACAGCGCTTCTGTTGAAGAATGGCATCATTTAGAGGATGACATAAAAAAAGGAGATGGCTTTAAATTTTAACTTGAAAATTACTCGTATTCAATGTAGACATGGATAATTCAGCAATTGCAATGATAATTACAAATTTACATTTTCATAAAGATTTACAATGACTTCGATGTTTTTATAAAGGTGACTGAGCCTTTTTCTTTTCAACACTGGAACTGGATTGTTCTGTTGGTCTTTGGGGTGTCAGTTTGCTGTGAAAATCCCAGTTTTGACAGTTGCTCTGGAAGTGGTGGGGGATGAATCTACTCGTGTGCTGATGAACAGAATGCTTTTCTTAAAAAAAAAAAAAAAAAAAAAAAAAAAAAGAATAGAGAATGGAGAAAAAAGTTACCTCTTTGAATCTAGATTCCAGATTTATTTTGACTATACAAAAAAGAACTGCTAAGGGGAAATTGCTGAAAATGCTATTCTGCATTCCCATCAGCATGTGTGAGGCATTAAAAGTTTCATCTTATTGCTCTGTAAGCACAATTTTACATCAGATTAAAGGAAGGAAATGGAGCCAGGGGAACAAAATCAGTTGACTGTCTCTTGAATTTGATGTGATACTTAAGCCAGATTGAGAAGATAGACTGAGAATTAAAAGGTTCTTTGCTTTGACTAGCAGGAAAGTTGAGTACTTGCTGTGCTTCTAACGGAGACTGTGGTTTTAACTGTGGGGAGTGAAAGCATCGTACCAGGGCTATGGAGTGGGTCGTGTGTATTGCTTAGCTTTGGTGGTCAATGGAGGGTTCTGTGTAGAGCCAGCAGCCTGTGGGGTTTGGGGCAGAGACATGCTCATGGCTGGAATATCCAGTGTTTAACTTGACCTGCTCACTTGGCGTGTTGCAATCCAGCTCAAATGGCGTAGAAAATACGCTGAAAAGTTACTGTATTTCTTTTGCGTGGTGAAGCACATCTTCTGAACTTCTGAAGGCTGCATTCTCTGGTGGCTGAGACAGAGAAGAAAGGGAATTAGGAAATCTATTACCTGTAGCTGGCTCCTCCAGTAACCTCATCTGTGCCTCTGGTCAAGTCGCTCAATTTTTTTTGTTTGTTTCATTCTGCCCTTGTAGGGTGATAACATTGTGTACAGCAGAATGTAGGTAACTTTCGAGGCAATGTAGGTAACTTTCATGGGTTGATCAGGAAAGTAGTTTAGCCCATTTCTATCCCTTGTGAACACAGAATGCAATTTTCCAAGCAAGTGGAAATTCCCAGTGTTTTATTAACCACCTCCTAACAACTTCTAAGGCACCGAAGCAAGATCACTGGAAGTACGGGCTTTCTAACTACTATTTAAGCAAACATGGTTGATAACTAAAAAGCTCCTTTGTCAGCAGTGTGCTACAACACCATGAGCTTTATCTTTTGTACATAAGCAGGAGCTTGGAGCCAAAAAGTCCTAATTAGAGCCACGAACACCTGCAGAAGACCTAGAGTGCATGTACAAGATGTATTTATTGGTCTCCTCCCAGCCTTATTGCTCAGCCTTTCAGGAACAGCATCTCTGTAATTTGACGTGAGGGAGTTCCCTGGGATTCCTCTTTGTTTAAAGAGCAAAGTCAGTGTGATCACTGCTTGTATACTGGTTCCTTTGTCTTCAGTACAAGGTAGGGTGTAGGCTTCATTTCTGGAGTACTTGTGCCCCATAAAACAGGCTCTTGGTTGCTTTGCTCTTGTGATGCAGTTCCTTTGGTGCTTCTGCAAATGTTTGTTCAGGGATGGAACAAAACCTGTCCATCACTGGGTAATTTAGAGCAGCACCAGTGCTGTACATTGCATGGTTCTTCATTGCCACTAGGATTGCAGATGAGCTGCAGTAGATACATCCAAACTTTCTGTACTGCTTTGCCCATTGCAAACTTAGTCCTGCCCATCCTGTCTCAGCTCAGAGACCCTTCACACCTGGGAGCCTGGCACCATGCAGGTGACATAGACTGGCAAACCTGGGATGCAGCTGCATCTCAATGCATCTCACTTGGCCTTGCTGCTTACTCTGTGTTGCATTGCTCTGGATCCATGCTACCTGTAGGTCTGTGGATAGATGCATGGTATTAAGTTAGATATTAGGAAAATGCGTTTTATTTCAGACTGGATATTAGAAAAAGTTTATTGTCAGACGGAGTGGTGAGGCATTGGAACAGGATGTCCAGGGAGGAGTTGGAATCACTGTCTCTGGAGGTTTTCAGGAAACATGGAGGTGTGGTATGTAGGGACATGGTTTATTAGGATTGTGGCATTGAGTGTACAGATGGACATGATGATCTTCATGGTCTTTTCCAACCTTTCTGAATCTGTGATCATTAATTAAAAAAAAGGTTTCAGCTGATTGTGAAAGTGGTGTCACTGGGCGTACAAGTGTTTGTATGATTCAAACATGCATAGCTGATTTGGAGATTGTAACAGCATTGTAAAAGTCACAGCAGTGCTAAGTCGGTATTACTGTGGTTACATGAGAGTGAAAAAGCAGCCCTGGCACATTGCAGGGATGTTCCAGCCATGAGTAACCCCTTGCACTCACTGGAGAGGAATTTTTTGGTGCCCAGCACAGACAAACACTGATACTACAGCTTTGCAGCAGTTTTCAAGTCTATCTCCAGCTGGCAGAAAATAAAGGAATTGCAACTATTTATTGGTTAAAGGAAAAAAAAAAAAAAAAAAAAAAAGCTACAAGCTGTAAAATAAATTTGACAATGTAGTTTTTCTTCTGAAATCTTAACTTTCTTTATGGTTCTCTGAGTTGACTTTGTGGAAGCCCAGCAAAGGAAGATGATTTAATCTACAGATAATGTCTCTTGCTTGATGGTTTCCTGCTTCTAAAATTTACCCCCAGTTCTCTGGAATTGGGGCTTTAACTAGCTTTGGTTTTCAAATGGGATTTTTGAGGGTGCAGGTGCTTTTAGAAATTTCTTATCTTGGGTGCCAAAAGCCTATCTGGCACTTTAAAAATATTTACAACTTAATATTTGAATTCACTTCTTCCTCCAGGATGCTGCTTGGAGAATGTACTGGTGATACTGCTGTTGAAATTTTGCTTTGATCTTACCCTTCCTTGTCCTTGTTGGAAGGATTTCATAGGATCATAGAGAATGGTTTGAGTTGGAAGGGACCTCAAGTGAAGATATAGCAGGGGTGAGTGCTGCTCACAGACCCTGCTGCTGCTGACCGTGGCGCTGCAGTTTGGAGAGCACTGACTTGAAATGCAGCAGTGAGAGCCAGCCTGAGCAAAGCTGATTAATCGCAGACCTCAGTCATTGGGTTATGCAAAATCGTAGTTTTGGTGGTCTTTCCTTTTTTTTTTTTTTCTTTCTTTCTTTTTTTTTTTTTTTTTCAAGGTCTGGAATGATCCTACTAGTGTGTGATGAATGGTCCTTTGTTTATTGTTTCAAGATGTTGCTCAGTGCTTTCCACTGACTAAACTGTCACAGTAGTTACTTTCAGGATATAGTTCTTCCTTAAAAGTGATCTTTGCTTTTGTGATGAATAACTGTTTGCAGTTCCTGACTTGCCATGCCTGTAAGTGCTGCCTGCTTGCAGACTCACTATTCTGCTTCAGATTGTCCTCAGGAAGAAACAGTGAAATACCAGCACATGCATTATGGCTAGAACCAGCAAAGCAAGGATGACATCTTGGTTACTGAATCCCTTGTACTACATTGCCGGGTTCTGCAGAGCCAGAGGTGCTGACAGGCTGTTTTCTTGGGCTCCCATTTGTTGAGCAGTTGATGGGGATTCATATTTAGGAGCTTGTTTTGAAATCTGCCTCATGCCACTAAAATGTAAAACCTCCAAAGCTGGCTGCCATCCTGAGGCATTGAGGGGCCCTTGAGGGGCTTTTCAGTAGAGGTGTTTGCAGTCACAGAGTCATAGAAAGGTTTGGTTGGAGTTGGAATTGAATGGGCTTTAAGTTTCCTTCCCTCTGCCATGGGCTGGCAACACCTCACCAGCTCAGGCTGCCCAGGGCCCCATCCAGCCTGGCTTGAAATCCTCCAAATATGGGGCATCCCCAGTTGCTCTGGGCAGGCTGTGCCAGCGCCTCGCTGCCCTGTAAAGAATTTACTCCTAACACTTAACCTGAACCTCCCCTCTTAGTTTGAAGCTGTTCCCCCCTTGCAGAACACGTAAGAATTCCCCTCCTGCTCTCCTACTCACAACTTCAAGGCACCTGAAGGCCGCAGTGAAGTCTCCAGGAGCCTTCTCCAGACTGAACAAGGCCAGATCCCTCAGGCTTCCTTCCTTCCGTAGGAGCGATGGTTCCAGCCCTCTGATCGTCTTTGTGGGCCCTTCCATTGGACCCCCTCCAACAGCTCCGTGTCTTTCTTGCTCTGCGGCCCCCAGACCTGATGTGACCGCGGTGCTGCAGGTGGGACCTCGCAAGGACAGAACCTAGAGGGGAGAAAATTTTCACCTGCCGACGAGGATGGGATTCGAACCCACGCGTGCAGAGCACAATGGATTAGCAGTCCATCGCCTTAACCACTCGGCCACCTCGTCTGCCTTGTCTGTCTCCTTGAGTTTATTGCGAAAATGTAAATGTTGTGGCACAACGTGCTGGGTAGGAGTCACAGCTCTGGTGTTGCTCTCAGGCTGTGCTCCAAGGAAGAATCCTCCTGACGCTG